GGCCTCTGTGGTCATTGCATACACAGATACACTAATATACATGTAGGTAAAATACACACATAAAAAAAATTAAATAAAAATTACATTAAAAAAAAGTGTGCTGGGGGGCTCCTTGGGCCTTGGTTCTGTCCCACTGGAGCTGCCCAAGAGCACCTGACTAGCTGGAACAAGTATACCTTTCACCCCTCATCAAAGAAGTGTCTTTTTGCAACAGATGGAGACTATTACAGAGTTCCAGAACTAGTCAAACCTACAACTGGCCAAATGCAGAGAACAAGAAGCTGCAGATTGCTTACCCTTGAACAGGACACCTACTTCAAGCCTCTGCCTCCCAAGGCTCAGGGGTCATTGCGGAAGAGGAGGCAGAAAGAATATAAGAGCCAGAGGGGGTGGATGACAACAAGGAAACAGTCTTCCACATAGGTAGTCACTTATACATGTGAATTCACAGCAATAGTGATAGTCCTATGCAAGCTCAAACCAGACAAAATCCCAGGACAGACATGGAAAAGTAGGTAAGAAATCCCAACCCAACCTAAGGAATTGTGGAAACTGATGGATGCTGGGGGGAAGGCGGGGGGAGTGTTGTACAGGGATGGGACTCTTGGTGGGCCCAGTGGATGTACCCACACTGAAGAACATTTAGGGACATAAATCAGACTCTATAGGTTGTATTACATATATGAGTACATTAAATTGGGTGGGGGGCAAGAGGGGAAGTGCTGACAGGGGAGGGGATCTAAATATAAGATATAAAACCACATTTATAAAATATAAAACAAACTATATTGTATTAAAATCGCAAAAATTCAATTAAAAGAAGTGTGCTGGGCACATTGGCTCATGCCTATAATCTCAGTACTAAGGAGGTTAAGGCAAGGGGATCACTGAGTTTGAGGCCAGAATAGACTTAAATAGAGAGATCCTGGCTCAAAAACACTGAAACAATGAAAGCAATATGTATCATGTATACACTGTGTGTGACCCCAGAAGGCAGACAGCCTTCCCTGTTGGTTCCAACTCAGTACTTCAGGGTTCACCTCTTCTGCCTGCCTGCATGCACTGGGTGTGCTGGGGCCCTTGCCTTGCTTCTTCAGACAGTGTTTAGTGTTTAGCTCTCTTCAAGTTGTCAGCTTCTTAGTTGATGCCCACATAATGGCCATGTAGACCCTACTCCTCAGGCTGTATCCTGTCCCCCAAGAATTCCTCCAATATACAGGCTTACTCCCTTGAGGTGTTCCCTGTAGTCACTTTCCTGCTTGAACCTATGTAGTGCCCCTCATTAGAGAAATATCCACTTGGCTCTTACAGGCAGCAATTGCTTCTAGGTCTTCTCAGCTTAACTAGCTCATGGATCTTCAATGTCTCTGTACTCAACATGGGACTATAAGCCTCATAAAGGTAGGCTTTGCCTGACACATGGAGTTAAAGAGCCAGAATGCTCTGACTCCATTTTGGCTAGCTTCTTTAGACAAGCCCAGACAAGCTCAGGCATATTGTACATATAAAAGCCTTATAAGGTATGAACAAAAACTTCTGACTCTAAAAGATATTAGTCAGCACATTCCAATGCCCTGAAGACAGCCCCTACCAATCAAGACTTTCCCCGTACACAGGATATGGGGACATCCAATTATTTTTAAAAATGCTTGGCGTGCGGGTTTCTGTGGAGTGCCCCAATAAAAGCTCCTGCCTGCTATTGTTCGGGACCAGACTCCATCTTTGGCTCGTGAAGTCTGTGCCCAGCTAGCTGCTATTTGGTTGTTGTCCTTTTTTACTTTAAATTCTTAAATAAACTTTTTTGTATAATCTTTTTGGGTATCTGTGGGAATTAGTCTTGATTCTCGAACCCTAACAGAGTCTAATGAGCATGCGCAGTCCTGGTGTGAAAAGCCATGTACAGGAGCAAGACATCCAGATATACCATCCCAGTAATACACCTGGCATGCAAGGCAGGTTGGTCAGATGGCCCCCTAAGCCTCTCCCTTTCATTGATGGAATTGTTTTCTGAGCCTTCCTAAAGGGAATGTGAGGGTTAGTTGTAACTGTCAATTTGATACAACCTAGAATCACCTAGGAAAAAAGAGTCAGTCTCAGTGAGGGATTGTCCAGATCAGGTTGGCTGGAGGGCATGTCTGTGGGAGATTATCCTGGTAACATTAATCAAGGTGGGAAGACTTTCCCCCTGCAGGTGGCATTATTCCCTAGACAGAGACTTCTGAACAGTGTAAAAGTGGAGAAAGGCTGGGCGTGGTGGTGCACGCCTTTAATCCCAGCACTTGGGAGGCAGAGGCAGGCTGATCTTTGTGAGTTAGAGGCCAGCCTGGTCTACATAGTGAGTTCCAGGACAGATGGGGCTGCAGGGAGACCCTGTCTCAAAAAGACCAAAAAAAAAAAAAAAAAAAAAAAAAAAAAAGAAAAAAAAAAAAAGAAAAAATGTGGAGAAAGGGCACTGAATACAAGAACGCAAGCTATGAACTGCAGTGATGGCCAGTAAGCTGGAACTGTGAACTAAAACAAACCCTGTCTCTCCTAAATTGCTTTTGTTAGGCTATTTCATCACAGTAACAAAAACAAAACTAAGACAAATAGTATGTATGTGAAGGGTAAAGGAATGCCTAAAATTCTTTTAATAACCTAAACTAATTTTTCCAGGATCTTCAACCAGGTGACTTTACCTTGAAATTCTCTATTGTGGAAGAGGGACAGTCCTGGGCACTGCAGGGTGTTGAGCAGCATTCTATTTGTTTATTTAATTTTTAAATTTTATTTATTTATTTTTAGTATTTATTATTTTTATGTGTGAGTGTTATGCCTGCATGTGGGTAAGTGCACCTGCGTTGTGCAATGCCTACA